AAGTTCTCCTGCGCCTTGCTTGTGACTTTCTTCGACGACGGTGGGACGTATACGTTCCCTAGAAACAAGTCTTGCTCACCCCGCTCCCCAGGTATCTTTAGCCATAGGCTTTCCTCGAATTCCGTTTTCACCACTACTTCCACCACGTCAAACAAGGGGAGCGCACATTCGCTGTCTGCCGAATGAGAAGAGATGGGTGGGGAGGGCACGGGATATTGGATGCGGAGAAGGGTTGCTATTGCGCTGCAGTACCCGACCTTTCCCCAAAAGAAGCGAAAAGGTAGGCCGAAATAATCGCAGTTCGCACAGACAACGGAGGACCACTTTTCGCACGCCGATGCTAAAACCGCCAGCATGATTGATTCTCACACAATGTACAGTATAGTACACATGACTAGCAAACATCGTCGGTGATTCTTCGTTCCGTTTCGTGCCTTGAGTTATGTCCACTGACAACGGCATGCACACCCAACACCCAATCAAAAAACCAATATGAGCGAGGCTTTCAAAGGACAGCTACTGTAACGCAACAAAGCGATACTGCTGCCAGCAACACCAACCGACGCCGCAGCGTGTGACCCCCCCAATTAATTGGTCATGGCCAAACCACTCTCGGCAAACATCACAAAGCAATAGTTAGCAAGGAGAAAAAACAATCAAAATATAGTAGGGAGCTCGCGCACGCACTCACCTCGGTGCTGCTTCGTCGCCGCTTCTTCTTGTTCTCCTTTGGAGCAGCGGTAGGAAGTCCTCCAGTTTTCAGACGGATCTTGAGCACCGTCTCCTCCTGCCCCGCCGCGGCGCCCCGCTGCTCCGAGAAAAGAAAAAGCAACGATCAACTGCATGCAAAGCATCGCAAAAAAAGTGCGCCTACCGCTAGCTCTTCGTCCAAAGTTCGTTTGCCAACAGGCGAAAGGACGAATGACAACCCTTGATGACCACGTCGACGAATGGCAATCCTTGATTACCACGCCCTCCATCGCAACCAAGGATGTGTCCGACTTTACTTCCTTCTCCTCCGGCGTATCAACCCATGCAAGTGAGCATATCTCCTCCGTGAACCTTGCGATCGTGACATTAAAGAACGACACCAACTGCTGAGCGCAGGAAAGGTCGAATGACTGTCCCGATGGTGGTAGCATTTCAGAGCGCGCTCTATAGCCTCACACGATAGAGAAGAAACGACAACCTGACAACCCAGATATTCCCTTCACAGACACGCAACAATCGACCACCCCCCCCGATGACTACCCCCCCCTCTAGACATAAGTGGGTTGGCGCTGTTGGCAAAGCGCTGCAAAACACGCCACCCCACATATAGCCCCCATAGTATGCGATACCAAAGACGCGTGACGCATGGATGCGTGGAGTGAGGATAGCTGTTTACGGGAACCTCACAGGTTGAGTAATGTATGAAATTGCCAGACACAGACGTGTTGAGTGATTGTAGCTGTATACTGAAACCTCAAGGGTTGAGTGAGGTTTGAGATTGCCAGACACATGGACGGGTTGAGTGGGGATTGCTGCATACTGAAACCCCACGGGTTGAGTAATGTTGGAGTGCCCGACACATAGACGCATTGAGTGAGGATAGACACATACTGAACCTCACAGGAGATTTGTTTTGGAGATTGCCAGACACATAAAACGCTTTGAGTGAGGATAGGCACCTACAGATACCTCACAGGTGATTTCTTTTGGAGATTGCCGGACACATAGAAGTGTTGAGTGGGGATAGCTGCATACTGAGACCTCACGGGTTGAGTGACGTTTGCGATTGCCGGACACAAAGACGCATTGAGTGAAGAAAGCTGCATACTGAAACCTCACAGGTTAATTTGTATTGGAGATTGCCGGACACATAGACGCGTTGAGTGAGGATAGCTGAATACCGAAAATCCACAGTAGCAATAGTGAGGAGACAAGTCGAGAATGGAGTACACCTAGACCCGACCCCAAACCCGTACCCGAACCCACTTAAAAAATAGAGGCCATGCGCCCCTCCTCCCCTCTACCTCCCCCAGAGGATGAGGAGGGTACAGTCCTACGTAAGCACAAGCTTGCCTAAGGTTAATGCCTGTTTGTACGGTAGTGAAAAATACTAAAGTCCCCCATTGGGCGGTGGAGGACTTAGAGCTAAGACACCCCAAAACTCTCCGCCGTGAGATCCACAATGAATCGAACGGTGGAGGGGGGGGGGGGTTCGTTGCTTGAAGTGGATCAACAAATCATAGAGCCATCAAAGCAAAGCTTGTTACTCACGTCGAGCAAGATGAACGACCAGACCAACCACGCAAAAACTGCGGAGCTAGATGTGCGGCACGCACAATGCATTGTTTTCGATTGGAGAGAGGCGAGTACAAAGCAGTAAGGAATTGTTGGCCAAACTTTCGGCAGATAGGTCTACTCGGGAGCGTAAGTGGGGTAGCAACCCATGGTGGAGCGTACATGAGAAGCTGGACGTTGGTGTACGCCCCATCCCGGCGTGTGAGTAGGATCTTAGGCTATGCAAGTCGTCCCTGAACTTTTTTGTGGTGAAAATGACTCCCACGAGGAAAGGAGCCTGTACCGCGGGACTTCGGAGATGATAAATTGGGTGGTCGGGGGACGTCTGGGTGTTAACTAAGCAGAGCGCCCGGCACAAGACTGGGGTACTTGTGTCAGGAGGTGTGAACTTGGATCTAGACTACGAGCCTATGTTGGAGGCGCTATTTAGCGTCGGTGAGCCGGCAAA